AAGAGGTGAGAAACCTTGCGCACTATCTCGACGAGCTCGCTGGCGGGTGGATGGCGGAAGCCACGGTACTCGCCCCAGTACTCCTCTTGCTCGATCTTGTGTTGCCGCAATCGTGCAGTGATGCGCACCCACACGGCGTCGAGCATGTCCAGTAGGCCGTGTCGCGGGTGTGGCGGCACCGGCCGTTCGACGTAAGTCTTCCCCTCTTCCAGAAGCATCTTGAACTCTTCCTCCTCGATTCGCATGTCTTCCGACTCTTCTTCTCCTTCTTCACTTTCGTTCTCCTGACCGCAATCATCGCCCACCGACTGGCCATTCGGGCCGATGCCACTGTCATCGAGGGCGAGGTTGGGCAGAGGCAACCGGCGGGCCAGGGCCTGCGCCGCATAGGAGAGCTCCAACCTTTCGTAAAAGCTGGTGTAGCGTGCTGTGGCCCACAAGCAACAACCCAACGAACCATCGGATCAGGGAACGTGTTAAACCACGATCACACTCATCGGGGTTAAGTGTGGTACCCTGGGGAAGGGAGGTGAAGTGTGGAGAGAAGGGTGAACCGGCGACGGACAGTAGGTGGCGCACCAAGAAGCCCACCACAAGCTGGGCGGCCTTGTGGTGATGCAGCACGAGCGCTCGCCCCTTGCGACAGGTGCCAGCCACGCTCAGCGCTGATGCCACGTCAAGCCACCTTGAACACCCCACAGCGCATTATTTGTAAACAGAAGGTAGCTGGTCCGGGGGGGGGGGCAAGAAGACTGGCAGGAGAAAAGCTGGCGTACGCCATTAGTTCGTAGTGCACAAGATCGGGCATGGATAACAGGAGTGATGGTGGGCTTCCATCTTCAACTTCAGCCACCTGGTCGTCCCCTTCTTCTCGCTTCCTCTTCATCTTCTGTTGGCTTGCACAGATTTTCTTTTCCTGGAATTTATTCGTACCTCTTTGGGCGGTTACAACTCTGCACCGCGATGGTCGGTGGGCAGCACTTCACCGTGGCTGACCCTGGTGAGCCACACCAAGGTCGCGCTGAAGTGAGCTGAGGGCGAGGAGTGGCTTGGGTGTCAGCACACGATCGATGGTGGGTACGTACGCCAGGTGAAGGTCTTCGCTCCGGATGGGCAACCCGCGCATGCAGTCCGATGCAGCCTCAAACAAAAGACTGAGTGTAGGGGAGAACAATGAGGTCGACCATGCGCGTGGGTCTGTACAAAGCAATGTGAGCGACAGGAGTTGGCCCGAAGAAGAACGTACATGCGCATCGAGGAGCGATCGATCAACAGCACGGCTCCCGGGTTCTTGAGTGTCCCACACCAGTCAGGCGCGCTGCAAAGCGAAATCACCCGGCCGCCGTGCTTTTTCTCATAGCCCTTGGGCACACACACGCCACCTGTCCGTCAACATACATTGCATCTGCATGTCGCCAGCATCAACACACTGTGAAACGTACCTCCGCGATGTAGCCTCCGCTCCTCACAAGGAACTCGAGCCCGTTGTTGCTGTTCCACCACTCGGTGACGTCTGGCATGATCAAAGGTGCAATGTGAGCTTGTGGCACACTCGAGGTCATGATGAACACCAAGGCCAATGGCTGCTTTCGGACCTGGTCCCCATAGATAGCCGAACAGGTCTTCGTTTGGCACCCAGCAGGGGCTGTCTTGGGGCTCCGAGAACAGGAGGTCGCACAGCGGTGCCTCATCCTCAGCCAACTCATTTCTGGTTGCGAGACGCGTCAGTAGAGTCATCACCATCGAGCCAGCCACCAGCCCCGTTCTGACGAACCTGGCCAGCGCGTCCATGTCGTTGAGCGTGTGCAGCTTAGGCGACATTCCATGATGCACACAGAACGTCTGCGGGTGGTCAACCATCACCAGTCGATTGGCACGACCTTAAGAAGATCGCTCTGGACGACTAAAGGCGGTAGGTACCCTTTCGTCGATCACCGCGGCCAGCGGGAGGCATTGGAAGGTCGACACCAGCAGCTTCCACGAGCGAACACTGCCGTACTTCTTGCACTCGTCGTAGAGGCCGTAGAGGCGCGACATGGAGGCGTTGTCCTTACCGCCGCGCAGCAGGTAGACGTGATCCGGGTATCTCACCTGCCCCAACCCGCCCGGCCAGTTCAGGCCTTCACATTCAGCTGCGCTTGACTCACTGGACTGGCCCAAAGCACCTTGAGTGCGAGAAGCAGGAGGAAGCATTGCAGGCCGGTGCCGCCCCGCTCCGTGTAGCCGCCCAGGAACAGGTACTTGGTCGCCGGCGGCTCCTTGCCTTCCACTGAGAGACCGTTTGGGTTAGAGCTTGTTAGGGTTGAACAGGAGAGCGTCCGTATGAAACGACTGTATCGTGCGCGTACAGACGAGACGCATCAACTTGACGAGGTCTGCGAATTGGCCACGAGGCCCGGCAGCCACGGTGATAGGCGACGAGAGGCGCAGCACGTTGGGCTCCCTGTTCAATACCTCCTGCGCCTGTCAACATTGAAGGGCCTGAGCATCTTGAACGAGGAGGAGAATGACTGATGGTTGTGATCACAGGCGACTGCAGTCGTACCATCAAACACAAGAGGACAAGACAGCGCATGTCGGGCAACCGGCCTTCCCACAGGTGCGCCAGCTCCCTGTCGAGCCACCCCGCGTGCCACGCATAGCAGGCCTTCCAGTTGGCAAACGGCTCCGGACAGGCGATTGACGACTGAGTCCTCCGCCACTCGTCATCGACGCCGGCTCCGCGGTCGTTGGGCCGACGATACAGCCAGAGCGCGGCCTGCGGCGGCCCGTCGAGCGGCGTGTGCACCCGGCCCACCGTGAACTCTACCAGACCCACCAGGCCCGGCACCCGCGCTTGGACCGACCGCGCAGGCGAAGCCGGCCACCGCGGCAGCTGTAGGCACCTGCCCAGCCAGGCAAGGGGTGGAGGACGACCTGCCTGGGCGTTGTTGTCGAGTCCCTCGACGGGGTCGGCTGCAGCCAAGGGCTGGCCGCGGTGCAGGAAGAGCAGCCGTCGCCAGAGCCCGTCGTCGCGGGCCAACGCAGCCCAACGACGGCAGGTGGCGCTGACCGCGCACAGCGCACGCAGTTCGTTGTCCCCTGCGCATGCCGCCTCCCCCTCCGCCTGCGCGCAGCCCAGGCTCGAGACCCCGAGAACTGACCCGGGAGAAGGGAGCAGCGCATGGAACACGCACAACACCACCTCGTCTGCCAGACAGTCCCACACACAGTCTGTCTGGGGCGCCGAGGAGACGTCTCCTTCCATCACCACCGCCTTGCACGAGATGCTCCTTTTTCTTCTTTTCGTTCTTTGTTTCGGTGAATTGCAGCTGGCCAGCTCAACTCCGGAGCGATCGCTCACTTGCGGCCACGACCGCCGCGAGAGCCGCCACGGCCGCGGGAGCCACCACGCGAGCTGCCGGCGCGGCCTCTGGCACCACCTCGACCGCCTCGGCTGGTGCCGCCGCCCCGGGCCATCTTCGCGCTTCGGCCGCCTCGGCCACCGCCGCCGATGTTGAAGGGCCTCTTCCTCTTCTTCGACGTGCTGGTCATGGTCTCGTCCTCGTAGTAGTCGCCGTCCCTGAGGTGGAACGGATGATGAGCGCCGTCGTAAAGAAAAGGAGGGAATGTGCAGCAGCTGAAGACGTACTTGGAGGCAAAGTTGAAGTCGCCCGCGTCTTCCTCTTCGCCGCTGGCGCTGTCGTCCATGTCGAAGATGTCGCCCTCGTCCTCGCCCTCGTCGCTCGCTGCCTTCTTCTTGCCTGGATTGTGTGTGTGTGTGTGTGTGTGTGTGTGTGTGTGTTAGGAGAGTTATGGAGAATGGAAGTGTTGTGAGCGCTGGCCGGAAGAACGCACCCTTGGCGCCCTTCTTGTTCTTCTTGATGCGGGCCTCCCACTCCTTCTGCTTGGCGCTGACCTCCTCGCCGCCCGCGCCATCCAGGATGTGGGCGAACTCGTCCAGCGACGCAAAGTCGCCGCTGGCTTCGGCATCGTCCTCTGCAAAGTCTCCCTGTGTTGTTGCGCCGGTGGGCTGTGGTGAGCCCATGGCCTTATTCTCACACACGGGGAGCTGGGAGATGCGTACGTTTTCTTCGGCTTCAAGCTCCTGCATGAGCAGGTGCTCGTAGAACTCGTCGTTCTCTTCGTTGTCGAGCGGAAGGTCCTCGCGGACTTCCTCTTCATCCTCGCTCAAGACCATGTCGTTGTAGTCGTACTCGCCTGCCATGTGATGTTAGTACGATTGCGCCTCCGCGCTCGCCCATACCACGCAGCAGGGCTTGAGCCACCAAACCAACCGCCAAAAGAGAGAGCCCAGTCTTACCCGTTTCCTTGTCGGTCTCCCCAGCAAACTCCAGATCGTCCTTGCTCTTCTTCTTCTTGTCCGTGGTCTCCTCACCGCTGAGCTTGGCCAACATCTTCTTCTGCGAGAAGAACTTGTAGAAGAACTGCTCCTCATCGCGCACTCTCTCCCTGAATGATGATGATGATTGATGGCATCCACGTTCAGCTGAAGTACTGGTGGTACAAATGGCAAGCAAAGCGCAAAGGAAACGCACTGGTGCTGCAGGAACTGCGGCCTGTTGACGGGCTCCTTGTTGACCCAGTGCGGCACGCTGAGCGGCTGCATGAGCGAGCCTGTGTGTGCAAAGGGGGGGGGTGTCAGTTCCTCCCTCCAGTTAACCTAAGGGAGATATTTGGGGGACACGCACCGCCCTTCTCGCGCTCCTTCTGCTTGGGGTTTCGGAAGGAGAAGCGGTCGAGGAAGGCCGTCAGCGTGAAGTCCTGCAGCGGGTTGCCCTGGTAGAAGATGGGCGTTCCCTCGAGCAGCATCCCGGACCACTGTGTGCCCGGGGATTAGGGCCAAAGGACACACGCAACAGTGAGACATATGCAATATTATATTGCATCACCATCACAATCGGCAAAGACCGAGCCTGCACATGCGCGTACCTTGGAGACGGAGGGGTGGAAGTGCTTCTGCAGCTCGACGAGCTCCCACGTGCAGCTCTTATCAGCGTTCGCGTACTCGGGCTCCCTCTGCACGGTTGAATGAATGGATGGTGGAATGGGG